CCTCCTGTATAACCCTACATTCGCCATAAGGTCTTGTTCATTGGCAAAAGAGGAAACACAAACAGCTCTCTGCTCAGGATCCTGCAGCTCCTTTTGATCAGCCAGGTGCATGACCATTCAGGTACGTGTAAGGACCCTTAGAGGTTTGAAATGTGTAAGCAGTTGTTCTCTCCTTCTGTTGCGCTGCCGTTAAACTGCTAATAAAAAGAACTAATTTTAATCGGAACCTCCTCGAATGCGCTGACCCCTTCCAGTTCCATTCTCATTCATTAGCACTTTTAGGAACAGCAAGGATAGGATGCCTTGTGAAGCTGGTATGTTTTGTTTCCAAATTTCAGCTATTGTGCTCCATATCCAGCCTCAAGCATTGGCAGTTTCTGAGCTAGGCCACTATGGAGGGAGAGAACAATCATTCCTTTCTTGAGAACATACAGGTTAATTAATCGACAGGAAGTTCTTGAAAGTTTTCCTGCAAGGAATGGCTGAATAATGCTTCCAAAACCAACAAAGACATGAAGCCGTGATCTGCAAAGAAAGGGTCTCAATCCCCCTAACTTTTGTAACCAATACTTCAACAAAATGTCATTGATTGTGGAAAAAAGTATTTAGTTGTTTCTGAAGCCTGTGTATAAAAAAAGGAAACCCTACTTTAAAAGATCAGAATAGGCTACTTGTGTGTGCCCTGTTAATGATGTAGTTGTGTTTATTGCCTATGGACGTTTCAACCAAGTTCACGCTGGGTAATCCAACACAAGGCTGTGGAAAATCAGAACATATTACAGTGCATAATATCTCTACGTAAGGATTTGCACTAAATGAGCTATAAACAGTAGCAGATTATAAATTTAATCAATAGGCAATTCCTTTGGGGTGACTAGAATTATGTATGGAGAGACCTCTGTAGCTCTTATAAATACCAGCCTTGTGTTTGTGAAATACTGTATCCCTATCTCGCTAAATGTATATGTTAATATAATGTATTTTGTGAAATATTTGGAAATACTTCCCTGTGGTGAGGTCAGTTTTGGGTAGGGATGACTTTGTTATCACCTCAAACTAATTTCAGAGGGCTATTGCTCATTTAGTGTATTATGTCCTTAATGAAAACCCAACCAAAAAGTTGATATGACTGATCTTCTAAAACATTCACTCACATGTTGTTTTACTGACATTCAGACTTGATCAGGGGCGGACTGACCATTTGAACACTCGGGCACTGCCCGAAGGCCCGGGCTCAGTAGGGGGCCCCATGAGATGCCCCTGGTACCTTTCATTGGCTTTTTCATAGGCTTTTTTGGGTTTGGGAGAGAGGACACAGGGGCCCCATGGTCCCCTATTGCCCAGGGGCCCCATGAGTTGTCAGTCTGCCCCTGGACTTGATTGTCGTTTTACAGAGCTGTATCTAGAATTCTTATAAAAAAGGCAGTTAATGCTAATTTTAAGAAAGAGATGCGGCATGACATAGTCATACTTAAAACATACAAACACTAGCTAGTGAGTTGATTCCAGATTCCTGGATTTCTAGCCAATCTAACCAGTGCAAACATCCACTAGATATCATCATGGTAAGCTTCAATGGCAGATTAGACAAAGCATTAGCTTGAATTTGAATGTTTTCTGTTGATGGATTTGTGCATATACAGGCAGATTAGTAAAACACTACATTTTTTAAAAGAGAATATTAATACATTTTAGACATATTTTTAATTTATTATGGTTGTAAGTCCAGTTTCTTACAAATCTCTACAGTGCAAGCTTGAATCTATATGCACAGTTGATATTTTGAGGAGTGATTAAAGCCGTTCCCTCCTAATACCTGCTTGCTGTTTTCAGAAAGTGTTCAATGGATTCCCAATCAGAGAGAAAGTCTGAAGAAAAACTGCTTCTGCTGTGCTGCATCTTTAGAAACCCCTTAATACTTTTGGAATCCTCTGTCACATGCACACTTTGTATTAAATATTTAAATTCCTAATTGTAAAACAAAAAATGATATCAGTAGTGATAAAACATCAACCTCAAAACTTAATAGCTTCAAAAGAAGAAAGGCGGTCATCAGGCTTCAATACCGAGCTTTTAATAAAAGTCTAAAAGTAAAAGACACATGCATTGCAAACAAAGTCTAGCACTTCAAGATAGAAAAAGACTCACTGTTCTTGGTTTGTCTTTAAATCGGTATTGTGGTATATAAGAAGCCACTGCTCAAGACTTGCCAGTAATAGGACCATTTAACATGGGTGTCTAAAATGCCCTAGTTAGATGCATGCAGCATATAGTTTTTTTCCACAGCACTGTAGGAATCATGATGCCATACACATAGCTGTATCTACAAATGTAACTGTTCACCACTTTTAGTTTGTATGCATACACATGTAAAGTCAGAACCTCCTGAGGACACGAGGACCGCGAAATGCATTGAGGTCTTAGCTGCAAACGTCACTTCCAGTTTTCCTCTGATGTCATATCTGGTCCGGTGTTTTGAATGCACGCCGGCCATGGACACAACAGCAATGTGTAAGGAGGGATCCCCCTAGTGAGCTTTATGGGTTGGTGCTCCCGATGGTACCTGAAGAATGTGAGTGCATTTAGTATGTTTTACCACACACTTTTTAATAAAGATGGTTGCACTATGATTGTTTATCATAGTGAAACCATCTTTTTTGAGATTGGTTCTGAGGATGGAGGAGATGGTTTAACACTGCCTAAAGTGGATGGGTCTTAAAGAGAAGGCAGAACGCAAATGCCCACCTAACCGATATAACATTTGATTTTAGAAGCCTGCTAGCTAATTTATTAGTTAATGTGTTATGGTGAGTATATCAGTTGACTATATGTTGGTGGAACACGGTTGGCATTAGAAAAGGAGGATTCATCATTGCACTTTTTACTGGCAAACGGTGCTTGGGGATTTGCTGACACACATTCCCTTTGTTTTTGGATTTTTCGTCTCACATTATCTCGAAAATTGTGTTTGTTGCACTATCTATTTGCAATAATAGATGCTATAGTTGCACATTTGGTAAATAAGTCTCATTGTACATTGTTGTTAAAATCACAATTATTTTATTTGCACATTTGGCAAATAAGTTTTTATTGAAAATTTTTGTTAAAAATTAGCATTATTTATTGATTTACTTCATGCAATATGTATTAGATAGTATGGTAACACACAGGCTCAGCGCTCACTTTCAATTTTTGTTTATAGTTTCTGTACCACAAGACCCAAAACACTTTGTCTTAAGTACATTGGCTCATCAGATGCTATTTCACTTTTTTTTTTACCATCAGCAGACTTTTATTGGAGAACAATCTTTACTTTTGACATTTAGTGGTTTCAGAAAAGAAAAAAGAGCAACAAAAACAGAATAAAACAGAACAATATGGCTTACAGTATCCAAAAAAATTAATGTGTGGCCCATGATCTACTGATCACAAATATATCATGCAAAAGCTTCAAGCACCACAAGAAAGTACAGAATATCAGTGTAAATAATTTTTACATGAGAAAAGTGTTACGATAAAAAAAAAAGAAAGTTTAAAACAATAAAGGAGAACATTAAGTCTTCTTCTTTATATTAAAATACTTGCATACACCAAGACCAAGCCAGCCTACAGAATCAAGTGTTTTCGTTGACTATATTCCTAATGTTTTGCATTTTCTGGTCATGTGTGTTGTAGCTAAAGCATAAGCTAACTCAATGTTTGGGGGTACGCATGCCCACGCACCAAAGCCAATAGGCCCTAAGGAGTTAACCTAATTTGATAATTAGAATTTTTATAAGCAAGAACTGGGGATCTTGTGTTCAAATTTTCCTAAAGAAAGAGATCAAGCACATATTGTTCATTCCTTCTTCAAAAGCGATATCATAAAAGAGAGGATAAACCACCACTGTGTTATCAAAGACACACCAATTTTTATCAATAATGGTACATATCAGGAATCAAAATTTAACAGCAATATACTGCTTGTATTAAGAGACTATTACAACATATCCCTATCCTCATCATGGTAAATAGTATATCCACGATAAGTATAGTTAGTCATCTTTTTAAGTGATCCATTGTGAATGACAAAGCGTAGCTGAATTAAACATATTATTCACCCATCAGCATTTTTAGCGTCACTGTGCAACAGTCTTCAAACAACCATTCTCATTGTTCACTGTATGCATGTGCATATACATTCATTCATGGGGGAGGCTATTCCCCAATTTGTCCCTGACTGGAGACTGCAGCTATAAGCTATTTCTAAAAATGGAAGGGGGGATTGGCTTTCTAGCTCTGTGCACTGTATCTCAAAGTTCACCCGTACCCTAACTCCTAACGCTTCTTTCCAGTAAGGAATCATGCATAAGTAAGCACATTGATGTTATCTTGATCCCAATCAATATCAATGGATAGGCAAAGGTTGCTTGATCTCAATCCTATAAATAAGAATAAAGTGTTCTAAATAATATCCAAAATAAGAGGGCTCAAACCCAAAAAAAGAAAAATAACCTCAACATGTTTCGCTCCTACAATGGAGCTAAATATATGGAGTAAATATATGTGCACCCCATATTGTGTCAAGCAAAAGCACATGGTTCAAAGCCATAAGATAATACAGATGTGCAAGTGTGCATGCATATACTATTTTTAACTTGCAATTTCAAAGTGTCTGCAATTTAAAAAAAATTTTTTAGCTTTAATTTTAGTTATTATGGATGTACGTTTTTGGTGCCGGCTAGGTTAGGTTAGGTAGCAATTTGTAGGGACATTAACAACTTAATTTAGCCACTAAAGGGTGGCTACTACTACTCGGTTTATTGTAAATGTATTGTAAATGTTGTGATGTATATTTTAAATAAAAAGTTGTACGTATGGTTAAATAGTGAAAACCTTTTTTCCTAATAATATATAATGTTTCAGATATGGCTTTGTCACAGGGAGAAAAAATAGACTTCCCTTTCCCACTGGACTGTGGCAATGCACACATTTTACGTATGCATTACTACAGCATGCAGCTTTCTGAATGGCACCCCAACACATCTTGCTGACAGACGCGCATTGCAGCGCAACAATAGCAACACACTTACTTGGATTACAGTCTGGTTTGTTTCTAAAAATGCAGCATACTTAATTTTTTTTGCTGTGGTGTGTTGGGAAACCTATTCAAATGAATGGGCTGCCCTATCACAATGCATGTTAACACATGACACAACACACATGCACTTACCGCACCATAGCAGACCATGCTGATATGAATGGGTCCTTACCTATCTTTTTATCAGCAGCTGAAAAATAAATTATTACCGTATTTTCCAGCGTATAAGGCGACTAGGTGTATAAGACGACCCATTAATTTTCAAGTTAAAACATAGGTTTTGGGCTATACTTGCCGTATAAGACTACCCCCCTTCCGAGGCAACACCATTTAAAAACATCAGATTTTTTAATTAAAATGGTTATGACTTACCGGTACTTAAAATCCTTCAAAATCCTCATGTTCGTCCTCTGACATCATAAGTTCATGAATGACATCTTGTGATACATTTGTAAGACAGTCGTCATATGGATCAAATTCCAAATCAGATGGTTACCGCTGGATGTGCGGTAATACGGTATCTTCGGCTACATACAGTATACAGTATATATACAGCCCGCTGGATATGCAGTAATGTACATACAGTATACCGCGCTCAGCCAAGCTGGCTCAAAACAAATGTCCCTATGAAAGATTAATCTGTCAGCCCGCTGGATGTGTGGTATATACAGTATACTAAGGATATACCACTGTGGTATATACAGTATACTGAACCAAGCTGTTTCAAAATGTACGGTACGTCCCTACGGTAATCAGACCGCTGGATGTGTGTATAATACTGTACATACAGTATACCGTGCTGAGCCAAGCTGTCTCAAAACAAATGTCCCTATGACAGATTAATCTGTCAGCCCGCTAGATGTACATACAGTATACTGCACTGAGTCAAGTGGTTTCAAAACATACCGTTACGTCTCTACTGTAATCAGACCGCTGGATGAGTGTATGAACGGTAGCTACGGCTACATACAGTATACACTGGGCCAATCACGGCGAGTGATGTATTCTACTAATGAATACAAAGCCTGCTCGGATTGGCTAAGGTTGTGACATCATCAGCCCACCTCTCTGACTCAGCCAATCCGAGCAGGCTTTGTATTCATTAGTAGAATACATCACTCGCCGTGATTGGCCCAGTGTATACTGTATGTAGCCGTAGCTACCGTTCATACACTCATCCAGCGGTCTGATTACAGTAGAGACGTAACGGTATGTTTTGAAACCACTTGACTCAGTGCAGTATACTGTATATACCGTACATCTAGCGGGCTGACAGATTAATCTGTCATAGGGACATTTGTTTTGAGACAGCTTGGCTCAGCACGGTATACTGTATGTACAGTATTACCACACATCCAGCCAGCTTGACCCAAACAAACTCAAGGTTCACATTTTATACCCCGTGTATAAGACGACCCCCAATTTTTGGAGCATATTTTTAAGTATAAAAAGTAGTCTTATACGCCAGAAAATACTGTACTCCTTTCTGTTTATAGTTTTTAGTTTATAAAACATAGAATCTTCTATTATAACTGACTGACGTGAAGAACATACTACTTGAAGGAAAAATACAGCCAAAGATCTAGCAACAAGACAGAATAGGAAGATGCAATCTCTGAGAGTTTTTCAGTCAGGCTTCATGAGGCATGCATATGGCTTACATCTATAGCGAGGACATTATTCAAATTTTGTCAAAGCTGCAGTTTGTTTTTATCTACAGACATCGCTTATCTGTATAGGCAGTTTTTTTGGTAAAGGTGAACTAAATTTTAAGGTGTGCCTGCCAATTATTTTCAAATCTTGACATGGCAGTATAATTTGGTTAAATAGTGTGACATTTTAAAGTGGTTGTAAACCTCATGAACATGAAAAATGAACAAGGTATATCCCTCTATATTGTGTCTCAGTCCAGAGTACTAAATGTAATTTCTGTCTACTGGTTTGCTTCTCTGCTATCAGCTTGAATCACTTCTGATTTCCTGACACCAAGAGAAAAATGGTGACAGGGGAAGGACCTCCAGCAGATTGACAGCCTCAGCTCTGTTATTGTGAGCTGTGTTAAGGGAGGGGGGGGGGGGTGTCCCTTCTCTCCAATCAACTCTCAGAGCTCTCCTCATTGAGTGCTGCAGACAGGGGCGGACTGACCATTTGGAAACTCGGGCACCGCCCGAGGGCCCGGGGTCAGTAGGGGGCCCCATTAAATGCCCCTGGTACCTTTTTCATAGGCATTTTTGAGTTTGGGCAAGGACACAGTGGCCCCATGATCCCCTATTGCCCGGGGGTCCCATGAGTTGTCAGTCCACCCCTGGCTGCAGAGTGTAACTTCAGCTCTACATCCCCTTTTTTCTGACAACTCAGACAAACTGTATACATTTTGGACTTTAACAGACATAGAGAAAACTGCAGATAAACAGGCACACCTTCTGTAGGAAGATTTGTTTTACCTCTGTGTACCAGTCACTTCACTGTCTATATGGAAAGGTTTAGAGGGCTTACAACCACTTTAGTGTAATTTTTTGTTGTTTTCATCTTGGCACTGTAATGTAAATGCTTTCTTTTTCTTTCACAAATGTTTGGTTTGTAAGTTTTTCCCAATTGAAAATAACTGTGAAAAAAATACAGTGTATGAACAATATATAGCCTGAATGAAAGGTACAGCCACCTGGTGGTCATATGTTATACTTCTGTTTGCATTTGAATACATACAGAAATAAGTGTGTCCCGTGTGCAAGTGTGATAACATTGAAGCTTTTAAGTTTGGAAATAAATTGTCCATTATTCCACAATATACAAAGGCATGTTCCATCAATGGTAGTGAAATTCTGACAAAAATAGTACATTACATCTTTTCTTTGCCACGGGTAAGAGGAGGCATGGAACAAAGGACAAAGCAACTTTCCTGAAGATAAGGCACTGCATGGGAATAAGCCTTGTGTATGCACCTCTGAAAAAGTCATAGGCCAACAGACAACTGAAGCTTTTTTTTTTACCTTTTTTATTTTTAACATAGACAGACAGGAGATACAGGCAGGACAGAGTTGAGCATGTAGATAAAATATATACACATGTAGATAAAATGTATACACGTATAGATAAAATCATATACCAGAAATCGTTACAGCAATGAATAACAGATGCTGTGTCAGAGAGGAAAAAAAGTTCACCATCAACAAACACAGATTATGAATTCACACAATAACAACATTATAGAAATGAACATTTCCCACTATGTGAGGAAGCAATATCTGTGTGCTGAGTGGTAGGTACTATCCCAGTGATTGAACAACTAAGTAGGAAATGGGAGAGAATAGAAAAAAAACAGTTTTTATTACTGTAATGCAGTCAGGCATAAGCAATAATTAATGTGTAAATATGGGTTTATTCCTTTTTACTGAACTATTATGCTTCAGAGAGGGTTAAATGTGCTAGAGACACATATTCCTGGCCCAGTTCTCCAGTCACCAGCACTGCTGTGTGAGTGCTGTTGATTGAAACCCTGTGCAGGGGGTAGACCACCAAAGACACAGAACACTGGGCTTTTTGAGCCATGGTCCAGATCTCCAGCGTACTGCCAGGACCTTTTAACCCATCCTGCACCACAATAGCACAGTAAAATAAATAAAATCCCATCCTGCATCACAAAATCACAGTAACACAAATAAAAACCCATCCTGTATCACTAAATCACAGTAACACAAATAAAAACCTGCCCTGCATCACAATATCGCAGTAAAACAAATAAAAACCCGTCCTGCATCACAATATCGCAGTAAAACAAATGAAAACCCGTCCTGCATCACAATATCACAGTAAAACAAATGAAAACCGTCCTGCATCACAATATCGCAGTAAAACAAATAAAAACCCATCCTGCATCACAATATCACAGTAAAACCAATAAAAACCCATCCTGCATCACAATATCACAGTAAAACAAATAAAAACCCATCCTGCATCACAATATCACAGTAAAACAAATAAAAACCCATCCTGCATCACAATAGCACAGTAAAACAAATAAAAACCCATCCTGCATCACAATAGCACAGTAAAACAAATAAAAACCCATCCTGCATCACAATAGCACAGTAAAACAAATAAAAATGATATCCCTATTTATTAAGGTTTAATGCATTAGAATGAGAAAAAAATAAAGCTTCAATTGGAATTATTATAACTTCATCAAAAAGACTTTAGCACACCCTTGCTGGAGAGGAGAGGACTGAGCACATTCTTGGTGGAGCAAATTTTCAGCTATTCTCTGATTTGTATCCTTCTCTGTGCACTACACAAGGTTTATAGTCCTCTGGGTTATGTAATAAAGTAAAAAGAAAGGAGGTTATTTACTAAAACTGGTGCAACTCTGAATAGAAACCAGTCAGCTTCCAGGTTTTATTGTCAAAGCTTAATAGAACAAGTTGAATTTAGAAGCTGATTGGCTACAATGCACAGCTGCACCAGATTCTGAGAGCAGTTTTAGTAAATCTACCTCAAAGTGTCTACTGTATGGAGAATGGAATAAAGAGTGGTGGATGCCATTTACTTGCATCAATTTCAGCCTATTTCATTGGATTTCTTTGGAAGAAGGTTGAGGGGTACCAAAACATTTTGTCACAACAGTTAAGAAGTAGAAGTTGTACACTAATCCCTGGCAATTTTCATCTAATGAAGTACACTATATTGCCAAAGTATTGGGATATCCCTCCAAATCATTGGATTCAGGTGTTCCAATCACCTCCATGGCACAGATGTATAAAATCAAGCACCTAGGCATGCAGACTGCTTCTACAAACATTTGTGAAAGAATGGTTTGCTCTCAGGAGCTCAGTGAATTCAAGCATGGTACCGTGATAGGTTGCCACCTGTGCAATAAGTCCATCTGTGGAAATTCCTTGCTACTAAATATTCCACGGTCAACAACAGAGCGGGGTCAGCGCATGCTG